TTGCTTTTGTGAGATATGATTCATTAATTTAGGTATGAATGTGTTGCTCCTGTCCACTAACCCCATCAACTTGTGAATGCTTTTGACTCTTAACTGTGCTACGATGCAATGAGTTGTTTCCCCTTGGGGAGAGCACTGAAAGAATGAGATTCATTTTTGGACTGCAGATGGTAAGCAGTAGGCCCCCTGAGATAATAAGGATGACAATCATACTGCCGGTGGCAGAATTGGAGGTGATGGTTTTTTTTTTTAAATGTTTGGTATCGAGTATGGAAAGAACATGAGTTACAGAACCTCCCTATTTCATAGTTTTCAAGCAGTGATGTTACCTGTTTATAACTCACTGACGACATTGCTACCTACATTTTTCCTTCGCCCGTTTTGAAAGGTGGGGAATCTCTCTCTCTCTCTCTCGATTCTGGGTTCTACAACTGTTCACATAAACAAATTTGGGTTCTGTGACATTAATATAATGTTGGATATGGTAGGTGGACGGTGGCCTTAATTTTGGAGTGGTGTGGGTGATCCTTGCCTCAAAATGTTCATGGTAGATGTGTCCGTTTTTCTTGAATCTTGAGATTTTATCATCTATGCGTCTTTCTTATTCTGAATTTTTATATCGCCCACTCTTAACCATACCATGAATTGAATATCCTTCAACCAACTAACAACGTCTTCATCCACACACACGCACATATATATGTATATGTGGGTAAAAATTATAGTTGGTCTTTGAACTTTATCTTCAGTTTTAATTTTATATTTGATCCATCTTGACAATGTTTCTTGTCCTTTGTCCCTCTCACAAATCATTGACCAGGAAAGAACCAACAATTTTGGTAAACATCTCCAACATATTCTCCAATAAGAACGACATAGAAGTTGATGTTGATGCCGAAGCCCTTTTCACTGCACCACAGAACGATACCCTAACAAGCTCTACATGCACCTTTCTTTAAAAACTATCCCACCACCGCACCTAGACCCCATGGTGTAGTAACTGTATCCAAGAAAAAAAGAAAGAAAGGAGTGAAAATTTTCAGTTATGAATATGTATAAACGGATGTTTTAAGTAAAAAAGTTATAACACTGTAATTAACAAACTTAAGTTCGATATCTTGCGGTTGGATACATGAAACCGGTTTCACAATCATGTTGATTATACAGCTTAATGGTAATAAAAAATGACAAAAATAATAAGCAAATGACGAGGATGATCAGAGGTCGGACCGTGCAGCGAGAAGAACTCAGGTATGCAGGATAAATTATATTTTATACCCTCAAAGTTTACAACTATTTTTTATTTGGTCCTTGAACTATCAATTAAAATAATCAAGTCCTTAAACTTTGAGTTATATTTCAATTAAGTCTCCCCGTTCAAATTCAGAAGGAAAAAAGTTACATGAGCATAATATCATCCAATTATGGGATTAATTTTAAATAAGTTGACTCGAAAGTTAGAATATATGTATTAAAATTATAATGGCCAACTCATTTGACATGGATTTGACTACTTCAATTGCATCTATTGGCTCACTGTTTACAAATTTGACGTATGTTTATGTTAATTTGGTCAAAAGTTTAATGACTTGATTGCTGTAGTTGATTGTTTTTGTAACAACTCCGTGCACTGACCAAAATTTTCTAATCAATTTCTCTGGAAAATGGAAAAAAATTTTGGTCTTCTGAATCATCTGTACTATCAGCATTGTCTTTGTTGGTTATATAATAAACTCCTCCCCAAGCCTTTGCAAAGCCTGATTTGCTAAGTGATGTGACAAAGCTCCATTTCAACTCTCTATAGCAAGAACCCAAATTTTCTATCTAACAACAACCCATTTGTGATACTGTATGCCTCTATAACTCAGACCTATTTCTTCCTCTTAAAGTTGTTAACCACAATTTTGAACAAAACCCATACCAAGAAACTGAATTTGTTGAAACCCCCAATTCTCTCTCCTTCCTCCTCTCCCTCTCCAGTATTCTGCAAAAAACACAATAACCAACAAACATGTGATCCATCTTGACAATCCCTCTAATGACTTCCTGTCCTTTATCATCTCAGAAATCACTGGCCAAAGAACTTGCTGGGAAAGGACTAACAATTTTGGAAAACAACATTTTTGACATATTCTCCAATAAGAATAACGTATGAGTCGATGCCGATGTTGATGTCGATGCCCTTTTCACTACACCACAGAACAGACTCTCTATTCAACTTTCTTTTCTCCCCCAAAAAAAACAAATTTGAGTATATAGACGTGATAGTTTTAAATTCGTATCTAGCAAAGTAAATTGACGATTTGAGATATGAGGTAGTATGCTGCTGAAGAGAGGATTACAACTTGGTGAGTCAAAATGAGAACACACGCCTATTTATAGGGATTTGGCCATGTAATACGGTTATTATATTTCCTAGTGAATTACGCATCTAGGCTATTTCTAAAATCTTTTATACAATTATTTAATAATTTACTATATACAAGAACATTTAATGCCTCTTAAAGATTTATTTTTACCTCCCTAGTCTCTTCTAGGATATTCCTTCAAATAAGCTTAAGAACAAAGGACCTGATTTTAGGATTCCCTAAAACCTTCTAGAAGGCAGAAAGTATTAATCAATTTGTTCAATTATCAATTTGGTGTAATCTAAATAGTATTCTAGATATATTATTTCTAGTCATATTGTATACTTATTCGCTTAATTTTTCATATTATTTCTTGCCATATTATATAATTATTCACTTAATTTTTTTTTTCTAGTAGATTTTGGAGCAAAGATCGTGATTGTAATATTTGACAAATTAGAGATAATTTAACTTTTTTAACATGTAAATAGGGAGATGTATTTGTATTTAGAGATTCAATTATGAATTTAATTTGTATTAAAATAATTACAGCTCTAATCATGTATGAGAAGATATTTTGTAGAATTTTGTCAATTAATTTATCAAATATCGCATCCAAAAATTTGGGGCATTAAAACCGCATTTGCCGTCCTAGATTGTTGCTCGGCCACAACCTCAAATGGGCTTTGCTTAGTAGCCTTACTCCGTTCAAACCATTGGAAAACTTGGGTACATCAAGGAGTCTTGCCTAATAAAGTTGGTTGACACTTACGGAATGCCTCAAGTAAAGCTCCAGCAATGCATTAACATGCTCGATCTGCCCATCCATGTGGGGGTGAAGCTTGTTGATAAGTTTAGGTTTGACCCAAGTAGTTTGAACTTAGAGCTCCTTCCAAAACCTCTCGGTGAAATGCGGATCTTGATCAATGACTATATTTTATGGAACACCCCAAAGTTTCACAACATGCTTCAGAAATAGTCTAGGTGCCTCTTCAGCCGTGCAATCTGTGTCTGTCACTACAGGGATGAAAGTAGTGTACTTACTAAATGTATGCCACCAAGATAATGTTCCCACATCCATCTGACTTGGGTAATGCTACAATGAAGTCCATGGAAACAAACAAAAGCTCCTATGATTTTCCCTTTTAACTTTCTGTTAATCTCGTTTATTAATATCATTACTTCTAATTTTCAAACTCGATCCTATTTTCCTCTGTATTATCTATTTATTATTGTTAAAATGTATTTTAGCTCGATAGTTGTGGCTTAGAGTATCTTTTTTTCCATTTTTGTAGGTTTTAAGTGCAGCCAATAATTTGGTGACAACACTAACTATGGAGCAAATGATTAAAATCTCGAAGCAATTTCAACAAAAGTAATTGTCTTTAAACTTGTCTTCAATTTGCTTGTCATTGTCTCTCCCACGACCAAAGATATTAAAATTTTATATTTTTATCTCTGTTCAGAAAAGCTGATTGACATATTGTTTGTCTTGAGAAAGCTTTTACGATCTATATGAAAACTTCTACGATAAATTTAGATAAGTCATTCTTTTTCAGTATCTTCAGCATAGTTCGAAGAGAACTTCCTTATTCTTAAGAAGTCCAAAGCTTGTACAAACAAAGAGATATTGATGTTTCTTTTCCTTACATTGTTTTTTCATCTCTCTATAAAATGTGTAAAACAACAGCCATAATGCCACATTTGGAGAATGCAAAACATTTGAAAGTACAAACCCTAGCCATGATAGTTGAATTAGAATATTAGAAAACAATAAACCGATTTTAAAAGCCTGATTCATGGAAACAGATTCTTCAACTATAGGATAGAATTAACATGCATCATTCTAACAATTGTCATGTTAATATTGTATAGATAGTGAGAACGATGTAACATTCAAAGTTACCAATAGATATTTGGCTACAAATGGTTGAAAAGATTGATTCTAACTTCAATTTAATGTAAGGTTTATCTCACCAACTCGATCCTCCTTGTTGCCACCTTGTTGATGTACAAGGTGCTTCTCTTTCGCTTTTCAGTTTGACAATCAGCAGTGGGTAAGACCAGACTCTCCACATATGTGGCTCATCTAAAATGATAGATATATGTGGGAAGAAATATTATTAGGGCTTACACCGCCAGTAGAGTTGTAGAGCCCATGGATATGAAAAAATATTGGTTTTAACTGTTATATCATGTCAACAGTATCACATGGTGTAATTATCCATTAATATGTAGACAAATCAGCCAATGAACCTCACTCATACTCATAACTACTAGGTCATGTTATATATAATCACCTTCATGATATAACCGTTGCACCCAATATTTACTCCATGGATACATACTGCAAAACTCGTCGGGTTGTTTGATTCGGACTCGGTTACCAAATCCTTTCCAAGTTGGAAACTCTAAAAGTTGGGCAAATCCTTTCCAAGTTGGAAACTCTAAAAGTTGGGCAAAGTACACGGAAGCCCCCTTAAGGTTGACAAAAAATAAATTCCTCCCCTTCAAGATTTTTAAATCTTAACAATAAATTTCCTTTCGACTTTGAAAATTTATAACCATCAAACTCGATCAACTAGTTTAATGACATTAAACATAAATTTATACACTTCTTTTCCAAATTTTCTGCACTACTGCCCAAGTAACCCAACACTTTATTGTTTCGTAAACCACCAGAAAACCCCCAATAACCCGAATCCTATCCCAAATTTGGCCTTAAATGTCAACCTAAACGTGCAAATAACTCATCAATTTTCAGTTCTAAGTTCAAATTATGATTTGTTCCACAACAATAATGCAAACAAATAACAACATAATTTATGAACTTTACAATATGATACACAAACTCACTACCCCCTCCTGTATGGGGGATTCGACAACCAGAAAACCTAAACAATGCCCAAAAACAAGGGTACAACTTCAAAACTCTGCACTAACAACTAACCTCTCTTTCTATGCTGCATATTGTCAATGTAACTCGCAGAACAATTGTACAAAAGGCGAGATGACCTCACCAGATAAACCGGACGACCTATTCGTGGAAGGATGGAGAAAATAACTGTGTTGCCAATAAGGACCAGTGTCTGCAGTTTCCTTTGGGAGTCAAAATCCAAAGCCTCATACCCAAAGTTTCTTGAATGGTTAAGCACCGTGTATAGAATCCACACATAAATATTCTGTATAACGGCAGTATTTCACTGCCGAAGTAGACAACTAGCTTCCAAAAGTCGCCATAAATAAGTAAATATTAGATGCTGGCGATGTCCGAGTACTATAAACACTAGCATCTCATAATTTGTCATTAATCCAAACAGCTTCTGGTCACAGTTTCTTTGGTAAGTTATAGGTTCTTTTAAGAAATTTTGTGGCCTGCTCATCATTCCGATAACACAAAACTCGCAAGATCGTGTTTGGCTCTTTTGGATTCCACTGACCTGAAGTTGGAGGCAATGGGAGCCTCGACTTAGCTGAGACGCCATAGCTGTTCAGAGTTCCATTTTTTAATTCCTCAATAAGGCTCCCAGTATCAGTATGGAAAAGGGGAAGGACAACCTTCACAGGGGTTGAAAGCTTATCTATCAAATCGGCTGGCAATCCATCACCATTGGACCAGAACAGATCCATAAGAAACTTAAAATCCTCATCTATCATTGCAGAGTCTTGAAGAGTAAAAGCACGGGAAGGGCCTCCAGCAAGCAAAACTAACAAGAACCCATCAAAAGAAGCTTTCATTATGTCAGTAATTAATCGTGTCCCTACTCTCTCATGTACAGTCGCTGATATACTCTCTAAATTTTGCTCAAGTTCCTGAAGGAAAGGTTCAATCCTCGAAGATGAAACTTCACCAACATATAGGCCATCCCAAAGAACATGACTTAGATCATGAAATATGACCTTATATGCAGTTGTCTGACAGAGCTGCTGGATCCCTTCCACACAAGCACCTGATGAAAACTCAAACTTTTTTCCCAGGCCGTTTACAATATCATCAACAAGAGTGGATCCAGTATTCCTCAAATGGGTGATTGTCCTCTTTTCTAGAACTTCCAACTCTTTTCGGATGTGATGCAAAGTATTAATGCGGACACATAGGTGTGGTATACCAATGAAATTATCCCCATCCAGAGCCTCAACCTGAGGTTTTCTCCTCTGAACTGTAAGATACTTATCTTTCTTCTTAAATACACCAAACTTTGATGCAGTTGTACATCTGGTCAAAGCAGGCAAAGTTGGAATGAAAGTATTTCGGGATCCTGCATACAACAAAAGCAATATATGGTTACAAGGAGCATAATCACTTGAGATTTGCACCGATCTTTTAGAGTCTATGTAATATTTACCGCAGCCAGATTTTGCCTTCAATATGTAATTTTGAAGGCATTTATCAAGACCACTCATCAAATCAGGAAGCAGAACTGGATGCATGGGTATTGGCAACAAGAAGAATGCTTCCAAAGTTTCGTCCATGATTCGTAGGACCTCCACAGCAGAGGGAGCAAATCGCTCTTTGTTTGCTCGAGGGTTCCAGACCTATAAAGAATACATGGCAAGGCTAGATCATATGAATCTGCTTAATAATAAGTTTCATGTTTGCAAGTGGAAAATACAAATTTTATACTGGTTCCTTGGAAATTGTTTGATTGGTATTCATATGCATAAGTAAACATAAGCACAAGCTGGTGTGAAAATACAAATCAGACTGTATTTTGCTTTCTTCTTCAGAACTTTCTCATGCTTCACCTTTTCACATGGACAAGGAGAGAATTATTGCATAAAAGCAATGGAATCGACTGAATAGCTAAAGAAGCCGCATCCTTTTCATATGACAAAGAGCACTGTGTGCAGAGACCACTCAATATAAAATGGGAACCTGTTAGGTTACAAATAACAACAATAACTCATATTGGAACCAAGATATAGATCAGCAGGTCCATGACTTGATCCTGATGCCAGTCTACCTGATCCATTTCAAGTAAAACCATCCAAAGTCCTAGCCCAATAATTCCAAACTGAAACTCATCTCACGAGGAAATCAACAAACAGAAGAAAAAAGGGAAGGAGGGAATTACCTCTTGTTGCAGATTTCTGTCAACCCATTCCTTAAGCCTGTCTACTCTAGTCCTAATCCACAATTTCACCAGATTCCCAATTACACTTTCAGCCTCATAAGGAGTCATCTCCTGAATTATTGCTTTCCCACCATCCTCGCTATCCACCGCATCTTCAACTGCCATCTTCACAAGATCCTTTTCCATCTTGTCAGCAGCTATCAACACTTGTATAGCATCGGGAGTCAACTCACTGATGCCTGAAACAAATTGCTTCAGCTCGTTGCCGTAGCAAGCATGAAGGGTGGCTACAGCTACACCCGTTGCCATTGGGTGCCATCTTTTCAGGATTGGACTATATATTTCCTTCTCATTAAAAGCCATGTCAGTAATATCTTGTGCGAGGACAGAGAGAGCAGGAAGAGGATTTTGTTTATTTTTTGATAACCGCCTGCTTGTGTTTAGCTTCTCCCTTACCTATCTTAAGATAGAACAAAAGGAGATAAAGTCAGACTTAATGACATAAGAAATGGAAACGAACTCAGTAAGGATACGAGTTATCAGAAAAAAGCAGAAAGGAGCTCAATATTGGGTTCGGCAGAAAGTTCTACATTGCTCAAATCCATCATCCTCCAGATCCTATGTCATAACCAAACATTCAACAACTAAACGAAGCGTGGACACTTTAAGGATGTGGAAGAAGTGAGGTAATTTCTGGGTACCAGTGAGAATGACAGACCAGACAAACTTAAACAAGATCAAAGAATGGATCAAAGTCCACAAAAGACAATTTCAACCAGGAGGGATTTAATGGTTCTTGAACACCAATGCAAACAGTGGATGGGTTTGAGGACATAAAGGGATGGGAATCATCTGAATGTGCTTGAATACATAGGGAAGGAGAACTTGTCACTGTGATTTGACCGCTGCATCTGTAAAATATAACCTCAAATCGCTATTTTTTTGGCATGAATGTCAAAACTAGGGACAACCTCAACAGTCTAGATTGACTAGTTAAAAGAAACAGTATACAATCTTCAATTCAGGACCATTCAGGATGGAAAGCCTCCATTCCTTTGTGTAATGCCTTTATTTTGTCTTTTTTTTTTTGTAAAGGAGATCAAGTAAAAATATGAAAACTTGCCTGAGCATAAGCATTGCGCACTGAAGACCTGATATAAGTGTCAACTCTGTCACATGCTACATCCACTTCATTCCTCTTCCTACGATACTCAGAAGAGATCTCTTCTACTAATATTTTGGCTGCTGATACTCCGAGGGATAATACATTTTGCATTATATCAATGTTACCCCTGTAAAAAGAACCGTGGTAAGCAAGAAGCCCTCTTTCTGCCCAACCCAATATTGAGCTCAATGTAGAACTCAAGATCTTGGAGTAAGCAGGATCCTTTGTTGCCTTCGCATCCTTTTGGACATCCATCAAGAGATTATCAGCAGCAAAGAGCAGGTCAGTTTCAATTTGGCCAGTAGCAACATAACGATGGAATAAAACCCATGAAAAACAAAGATTATGCAACATCTGGTTGATTCCAAGAATTACCCAAGTCTTCTTCATGAGTTCTAATACCTCATCAACCTCTTCAATAACAGATGTTTCTTCATTTATATCAAAACAAGCTTCTAGAAGCACTTGGTAGAGTCGGAGGTTCAGTGGAATACCATCAGCCCAATGGCATGTCTGCGATACAGACCCATCAAATGATCGGCAAGCAAGCGACATTACAACACTCCGAAGAGCTTGCATGGATTCACTGTGCTTTCCGGACTCCATCGGCCTGTCTGAGGCCAAGTCAATAATCTGTCGAAGCTGTTGAGAAGCAGTGCCTGCCTTATCCAAAGGTAAGTGAGGATGCAGTAGTAATCCAGCTTCGAGTATCTTCAAATTTCTCTTTTGCCATGCTTCAAATTCTTGCTGACTAGAAAAATCTGAAGACTTGAACTGCTGTAATAGTTCCAGTGGTAAAACCATCGACTCCATTCGTCTTCCAAGCTGATAACATAGCAAAGTAGAAGCCCAAAAATCAAATCTTCCCATAAATCTTTTTTCACTGTGGGAGTCGTCAAACAGACATACATGCAAAATCTTTGTCATGTCTTTTTAATTTATTCCTTTGCATCTTATTCACTCATTCTTTTATGCCAGTTTCTAATACAAATTGTTCCAATTTATTCAACTATGCCTTAGTAGAAAATCAAAATAACATGACAGAATGAGTGAGTAAGATTAAAAAAAAGAAAGAAAGAAATTTAACCCACATACCCACATATATTCCACAATCGTGTATCAAAATTAAATTTAGAGTCAGAAACAAGAAACGAATCAGAAATGGAAAGTATTTATAAATACACAAAGCATCAGTACAGAGTGAAAAGAAGAATTTTTAGCATACTACATGTTATAATTATAGCCAAAAAAAGGAAAATACATTCGATTACCGAGAAAATCCAGGGAAAGGGGAAAAATCGAATTTTGAATCATTACTGACCAGAATTGAGCTAAATTTCATCTTGCATGATGAAAAAACAAGATACTGTAACCAAAATTTAGTTTTCTATTCCCCCCCCCCCCCCCCTCTTTATCGGCAACCAAACAGTATCAAAACCCCAAATTGTCCCAAAAAAAACCAAATATAAATCAAGGAAAACAAGAATAAAAAAACCAGCAGATCAAATACACACAAACACACACACAATTGTGTGTTTTACCTGTCCAGCCGCGACTCTCAATAGTGCTCTTCGGACCCTCGAATCAGTCTGCTCCGAAACCCTCATCTGAATCCTAATCAGCTCACCAATCGTCACAGCTCTCTTCGCCTTCCCCACAGAGGACACCGCGTTTTGATTCACTGATTCCAAATCTTTCTTCTTTGATTTCAACCCCAAGGCCTTCTTCACCTTGCTCGCAGCCGTCGACGTCAGCGACCTTTGCAACGACGGCCCTGAAGATGACGCCATGGACGCCGACCTGTCCAAGCTCTTCTCGGAGTTAGAGATGTAAGTCAAGGGCTTGCCGGCTACGGAGCTCCGGCAAGCTCCGATTAGGATCTCGTAGGCGGTTTCTCGGAGCTCCGAGTCCGTGAGATCTAGACCCAAGTCGCCGAACGGGTTGGGAAGGTCATCATCTTCAATGGAAGTTTTAGTACTATTGGGGACGGTGGTGGTGGTGTTGAGCACCATGATTCTGTGTTGGGTCGTAGATTGCGTTAACGTTGTTGTGTTCCTGAAGGCTTAAGACACGGAATACATACGTGTGAGAGATAGAGAGACTAAAAAAAGAGAAGAATCTATGGGTTTTGTGGTGTGACGTCTTGATGGGTGTGTTGCTTTTACCTTTGGAGAGAGAGAGAGAGAGACAGGTGGTGGCGGGTTGGTGATGAGTTATATTCTTGCTTGACCTTTAAGGAATGATTGTGTTTTGAAGCTGGGCACTGTGTGTGTGTGTGTGAGAGAGAGAGAGAGAGAGAGAGAGAGAGAGAAGTGTTGATGGGAGTGTGGAGTTCGGAAACGAGAGTTGAAACTTGAAAAGAGCAATTAGGTGGAGTTTGATTAATTCGACGCAAAGATTGGGAAGAGAGACGCAATGTCACCACGAAGCACCTGTGAAACAAATGCAAGCTTTAACGAGAAAAAAATAACATTCACATCCTCAAGGATTAATAAAATGATAGAAGGAACTCTCGTGGTTTCCTAAATTATATTACAAATTTGAGACATTTGTTATCTTAGCTTTGATTCTTATTCTCTTGTATCTCTGCGTCCAAATATAGGTTATTTCTTAACTCTTACTTGAGCAACCCAAAACCTACGCTAATCACTCATTTTCTTCTTCCCTAAGTTTTTCTCTTCACTATCACACTCAGAGATGTGCATGGATATGTACAATTCACATTTCTATATATCTAAATATACATACACTTAGATGATTCCTAAATATAATCCAAAAAAAAGGGAGAAATTGATGGGTTGGATGGAGAGTTAGTCGCAAGGTGGGGGCGGTTGAAGAGAAGAATTTAATTAGTTTAATGATGATTAGAGGGAAGAAATTGCATGGGTGTTTTATATGGTCATAAGGTAAGAGGTGGAAACTTTAACTAGTTAATGTGGTTAGAGAGTGAAAAAAGAGATATGAAAAGGTACCTGTGGTTGAGATGTTTGGTGGTGGTGGTGGTGATGGTGATAATGATAATAATGGTGCTTTTGGTGTGTCTTCTTTCAAGAAAATATGAAGGTTATAGTACTATGGTGATTTATATTTGTGTCTTGGTAATCCAAGCAACAAATGGATGGCGACGGTGACTCAATTGCGGGTTAGAGTCTTTTAAGTTGAGCTTGAACGGAATTTGGATTAATCTTAGATTAGATATAAGCGTTGTTGTCTGTGTTTCTTGATCATAGGCTAATAGAACCAGATTTTATGGGTCTCTCTAATTGTAGACTAATAAAGAGAGTACCCATATAAAAACCTAAACTCATGAGCATACTGTAATCTTAGCAACTATATAGGTATCTTATACAATTTCAATAAATCCTAAGGGGTGAATATAATTTTTATCTCCTTCACTTTGAAATGGTGTGTTTTTCGGGTGGCACGTTTGCTTGTGGAAGTTAATCTGTTAATGTACGAAGTTTTAATAGTGGGACCCGTTTCCCCTATTTGCGCCCTAATTGTTACTTCTCTTTCCGGTTTTTATTACCCCTATTGGGTTGGATTTCTCTTTCTCCAACCGAGGTTGGCAACGCGGTGGCATTTTTTTCACGGTGAGATTTATTCTAATATATTTTATTTTTTAAAATTATTTATTATATTTAAGTAACTTGAAAACTCTACCAGAGTGTATAAGATAGAAATTGAGTGAGAAAAAATAAGTATACCAGTGACGTGAACTTTCGATGATTGTTTTTTCACGTGCGTTAACTTTCTTTAAATTCTTCAATTTTCAATTAAACTGAGGTCCTAAGCTAAATTTCACATTCTTTTTGTTGATTTGGTATTAACCCATGGACTAGCCCAGACCTAATCAGGATCTGAGATCGTTAGAATTATTCTTCATATTATTATTAGATGGTATCATTTTTAAATTTAAAAAACACTAAATCTTAATCAAAACCGTGCAAAAATGGCCACATGATTTCCGCCCCTACAACTTTTTAATCCAAATGACTATGACGTCATGATCATATCCAACTTACGCCGATTGTCACGCCTCATGACAAACAAAAAAAGCCAAGATAGTCAATTCACTTGAATGTAAAATGCCAAATTTAATCTGCAGTAAATCGGTTTGTATGCTTAGCATTTGGTATTTGTCCTCTGCTAAAAAGACTATTACCTGAGGTGATGCTGAAAAAGTTTAATAATATAATACCACAAGCATCATAATCGATATATACCCTAGTGTATAATTAATGTCGGTCACATAAATGGGTCTAATTGTGATATGGAAAAATTATTTTTCAGTGTTTCTTAACTCCATTTTTCTTGGTATAGTAAAAAAAAGTTATTACAAGAATTAAGGTCTTTTACGACAAGTTTTTTACGACAGTAATATTCACTGTCATAAAAATTCGTGTTTTGAATTTTTTTTAGTGATGATAATGCAATTTGCTCATGTAAATACTATTTAAGAAAACAGGTGTTACCATAAAAGATTTTTTGAGACTATATTTATTTTGGTGAGGTATACCGTCCCAACACCTTATCATAGGAGATGGAGTATCAAAAAGTCTTTGTTACAACAACAATCCATTTAAATGATATTTACAATAGCAAATAATACTATTGCTACAAAAAAAAAAAAAAAAACCTTATAAATAGATTTTTTTTGTGATAGTGAACACAGTTACTGTCAAAAACTTACCTTAAAAAACTTTAATGCTTTTAGTGATGTGACATATACAATTTATTTATTTAATTATTTTTAATCAATAATTGTAAATTATCTAGAAATAATGAGATGCGAGTATTTTTTTAAAAATTTATTTGACTTAAGTATCACCTTCAAACTTATCTTCCTTTAAATTCTCTTTTTCATCAAATAGTTGTCAATAAGTACATATTTTAAAACATTTTCAAATTCTTTCTAAAGTGTATTCCATAATTACCCTTACTATAAATAGTGCATACCTACTTGAATGTGAGACTTTTAATTTTTTTTTTGATATCTGTGTATCATTTGAATTTTAAAATATATATATATATATATATATATATATATATATATATATATATATATATATATATGAAATTTCAAAATTCAAATGATACACAAATATCAAAAAGAATCTTGAAAGGTCCCACATTGTAATCTTGAAAGTCTCACATTTAATTAGGTATGCACGATTTATGGTAGGGGTAAAAGAACTTTTATGAATTTTTTTTAGCATATATACTTCTATCCCAATTATTTTAAAAAATGTACTTTTATCCTATTAAATTTTTTGAGAGATACCGGCCTCCATCCCAATTATCTAAACCACACTCAACAACTATAGATCAATTTTGGACATAGTTGATGGGCTCGGCCTAAGGCCCAACTCGGCTAGTGAGTCTAATCCAGACAAAGCCCAATGGATCTGGCTCAAAAGAGATCCGGACTTAGCCAGGCTCGCCAATAAGCCAGTCAACTACGCCATCCTGAGGTCATGCTATTTTGGAGTCACGTCATCCTGGAGTGAGGAAGTCATCTATGTCATCCTAAGACTTAGTCTTAAAGAGATCTCCATGCCCTCTCTACAACTACGCCAACTCCACCAAATCAATTTTTTTGTTATTGATAAAGCGTCTCAATCTGTTAAGAAGCGCTTATAAATTATAAGTATCGCTTATACATGGAAGACATGTCTCACATATTGTATCTCGTCTATCACTCACACTTGAGCGCCTAACACTCCTTGAAGTAATAAAACACTCGTGTCATCTTAGCCCTTTGTAGTAGAGTAGGTCGTATTGAACAAATCACTTAAATTGTGTTTTACTTGTATTAACTCTATTTATTTATTTACTACATTAATTATTTAACAGATGATGCATAAAATTAATTAGTCCCCAGTACCGTAGCTGTGTCCTAAACAGAAAGCCACCCAGGCAATCGAGAGTGACAAAAGGCCTGCAAAGCTGGCTTAATAGTTCATATATATATGAACTATATCAAAGCTCTCGAGAGTGTGATATGCTTTATGTTTTGTGTTTGTACATATATCTCGTCATTATGATTTTTTTAACTTGTTACTTTTCATAAGAGTTTGGTGGAGACTTTGGCAATGATTAGAAGCTCCAAAGTTTACATTTTGGCCCCAAATATGACCCACAAACATTATTAGTTAGGCAACTGGCATACTCGAATATTATGAATTTTATGACAAATTGAGTCGCCCGTTGATGGCACATGGAAATAGTGTCAATTGGATGATCTAAGCGTTGGACTAAATTAAAGTGGGACTTATTCATTATTTTGAGTAAATTTTTTGGTTCGTGATCTATTATGTGAAAATAATATTGTAGTATATTTATTTGTTTAAATTGAATTAGAAGTGAATGATAAAATAGATTCTAAAGTGACTCTGTTGAGTGTTAAAATGAAAATTGGGACAATATAAAATTTGACACTAATTTTATATTGGTTGGACAAGAAATATTTCAAGAATATTTGTGGATGAGTGAGGATTTACATGGGTTTGAGCTTGACCGCACGCCACACACGTTTGCTGAGTTGGGTTATGAGTGTGATTTAGATTCAACCTTATTTTTTTGGAGAAAATTTATTTGCGAATTGGATTATAAATTATTCGTTACTATGAGGCCTTAATTTTTTTTTTTGTTTTTGATTGGACTTGTGTTTTTATAAGGCATTTTTTGTAAAGTTTAAAGTATTTATGAATTTAATTGTTTTATATGAACTGTTTATGATATTTAAAAATTTGGGATCTTTTTTAAGAATGGGACCCAAAGCCAAAAATTCTTATAATAACACTCTTGAGCCGCCCCTGATTCTGAGAAAGTTGAAGATTTATCGCTTGATTCTATCATTCATTTTGCAGATTTTGAAAGATCTTCATTGAAAAGTTGATTATGTTGAAATTGTTTATTAAGTTGTGATTTAACTTTTAAAAATTTTACTTCGAAATTAAGCATGGTTTCTATTTGAGTTCTGCTGAAAATGCTCACACATTTATACGAA